TATTTTTTTGCGATGTTGCTTTGACCAGGGTTTGAACCCAGGTGCTGCGGAGTGGAAGCGCGCACTGCTTACCACCACACCACAGTGGCCGACGAATAGCAATTACGCGGCGGAAAAACAAAAAAGCTGCTGGAGCTGACAGCCTGCCAACTGAGCTATTCAAGTACGATGGCGAGGAGCAGAAATATGCAGAATATTATCAGATGAAGGCATGTCCGACGACTGGAATTTAGAAAGGCGACCCCGCCAAACGCACCAACTACCTCGGGATCAGCTTTCTAAGCGTGCAAGGTCTTATCGAGCGTATTGTGTGAAAGACTGAAGCCCAACGTCAACAAACTGATTGGGCCTTATCAGTGTGACTTTAGACCTGACAAATCCCCCATAGACCAGGTACTCACAATATGCCAAATCTAGGAAAGGACTCGCGAGAACAGAATCGACACTCTCCATCAATTTTCGACCTCAAAGCCGCTTTCGATAGCACTAAATGCGCAGTTATCCACAGACGTAAAAACGGAGAACGTGTTATCTGACACCATCCTTATTATGGGATCTGCGTGTTAACAAAAACTCACCACCGCAAGACCGTGACGTAGACGTTGCTTCTCTCTCTATCTATCAACAGCACACTTGATATCTTTCTACGTACTTTACGCTACGCTACGTACACATTCGTGGGTAACCGCCTACACGCCGCGGTGTCTGAAATGAGAATCAGTCAGATTTGGGAAGGACCTCTCTTAGCCGTTTGATACCAAACGAAGCTTCAGACAAGGTCACGTTAATTCTTTAATCTGATATTGGAGAAGATCATCAGAGCCGTAGAACTGAACCGCGGAGGCACAATACTTTATGAGAGCGTACATTTGCGGGCGTATGCCGACATTATCGGCAAAAACAAAGGCAAAACAAGAAAAAAACTAAGTATCTTCTGTTGTCAGTCAAACAGTCAGAGCATATCCTGACAATTACAAGTTTGAAAAAGTAGACGGCTTCGTTTATTTGTAAACCAGCATTAACACCAATAATAATGCCAGCCCAAGGTGTATTCAATAGGTGATAGCAGTACCCTTTTATTTTCTTCGCCCCACGGCTCGTCAAATGGCTTCTCTTCATTGGTTGGAGCTGTTTATTTATTGTTTTCTGTTCTCTTTCACATCCTTCGTATGAAATTTTTGGTAGTCCCCGCCGCAAAAGCAAAAACAAAACACATGTACATTTTGTTATTGTCGTACCGATACCACCTTATTGAATACGCCTTGTGCCAGCCTTGAAATCGAACGCAGAATCAATCTTCCCAACAAAGGAAATCATGATGAAATCAAGTGAAATCATTTTGTATTAAAATTATTAAATTTTGAAAGAAAATGTGAACGTACTTGATTTATGGGAAGTAATTTAATCGAAACCAGGTAATTTATGCTGTCATGTGAACATAGTTTTAGGCATGATACAAATATTTAAAGGCAGTTTCACTTCTTCTTCTTATCCGCCATTGCTCCCATTTGACGTAAACTGTACTTTTGACGTTTTCTTTTAAATTAAAGCTACCATCTTTGAAGAATCTAAAAAGTGGTTTTTTACTTCAAAAAAATTATTTCAAAGTTATTTCATGGAATATATTTTGAGCATCATTTTATAGCGAGCTTTTAGTGGTTTATTTCTAAAATTAATTATAAAACGGAAGGGAAGTAAAATACTCCCATTACATTGCGTAACGCACATAGATAATCTATTTGTTTATGCAATAATTTCCATCATTATTTAGAACGATTAGCTGCATATTTCGGGATGGCCACGTGCATGGTAACTTCACCAAGGTGTTGTTTGCTTGTTCCAACCACTTTTCGGCGGAAAATTTTCAGCCTGCTCCAGCAGCAGTAGAGCGAGTTGTTTATCTGTCTATAAACTGTAACAAGGAGCTCTAAGAATTTGTAAATTTTTTTTACCTCCCTCTAAGTTTATGCTTCCATAGTGCTTTCACTGACGATAAGCTACTTTTTAACTATTCCTTTGTTCATATGTCCTCTAAAAAGGATCCAAATTAAAGCAACAACCTAATATCTATAATAATATCTAATGGAACGTTAAGGTATTTTAAATTAATACACACTTATTAACAGCTATGCTAATACGATGAATTAAGTAAATTTACCTTGTGTGTTGTTATTTTTTAATGCATAAAAAATTCCTTTAAAAAATAATAAAATTTCCAAATCAATAATTTGTTGAGGTGGCAGTGATACTCGAGCAATTTACGAAAAGTATAAACGTCATTAGCACAGTTTATGTCAAAAAATTTCACAAGTGAAACTACCTTCTTTTTTGTATCTTGGTTTTAGGTGATTTTTAAATTTTTTTCGAATTGATTGATTTAATTTTTTTTTTGTATTTATCGAAGCCCTTGATTTGTGGGCCCTTGTTTCCCCATGCTTTAACCATGTCGTTTACCGCCAATTCATTTATGTAGTCTCTCTTCATATGCTGGTTTGAACCGACGAGGATTTTATATAGTATGTTTCATGGGAAGAAGCGATTTGAAAGAAAAGAGTGGCGTTTCAAAGATAAAATTCCAAACCTATCGACAAATTCCTTTTTGTAAGTAACCAATTCGGTTTCTGTCGTAGAAACAACGGTAAATATTGGCTAATTTTAGGGTAAATTTTGCTCTGCAACTTACGATTTGCAGACTAAACTTTCAATTTCGGGATACAGGTTCTTTGGAGCAATAGAAATATTATCGTGTACAAATTTTCTATAAGTCCAACAAACATTGAGCATTTTAATGCAAAAAAATTTTTCAAAAATTAGCAATTTTTTTTATTATCAAAATACTCGAAAACTGCTCGAATGATTTTGCTTTTGTTTTCTTTAATCAAAAACTCAAGTTTTTTCCTTTCATTTGGTATATGGGAAGTATTGGTTGATATGTTGTAAGTATGTTTATTTTACTCAAATATATGGGCATAAATGATTTTCCATACAAAATCACTTCGTCATCATTCTGCAAACACATGTTTGCTCTGGAAGTGAGAGAAGAAGACAAAAAGTATGTATGTATGGTATTTCGGCTTTTGAGTAACAGATGACGCAATATTCATAACCAAATCGCAGCGCATATATGTAAATACAAGAAGACCTTGGTAAATTTAAACACTTTACTTATGTATAAAGGACAAAGGTGAAGAGGAATATGTAAATGNGGCTTTTGAGTAACAGATGACGCAATATTCATAACCAAATCGCAGCGCATGTATGTAAATACAAGAAGACCTAGGTAAATTTAAACACTTTACTTATGTATAAAGGACAAAGGTGAAGAGGAATATGTAAATAAAGAATAGGATAAACATAAAAGTAAAACCAAAGATAAATATAAAGAAAAATATGAGGATGAGGATACCGATAAAAGTAAAGATGAAGATAGAGGAAGAAAGATTAAAATAAAGGTAATAAAGGGAAGGATATAGACAGAAACTCAATCTGGGGACTATTTCGGTATTTTAGAGATCTTCGGAGTTCTCGGGACTTATCGATATAATAATCAATATTTTATCGGTTTTGTTATCGATATTTTTTATCGATTTTGTTATAGAAATTTTTATCGATATTGTTATCGATTTTGCTATCGATATTCTCGGAAATTATCGATATTATGAACGATACTTTTTATCGATTTTGTTATAGATATTTTTATCGAATCTGTTATCGACTTTGCTATCGATTTTGTTATCAATTTTTCTATCGATATTATTATCGCTTTTGTTATCGATATTTTTTTCTTAATCTGNATTATCGATATTATGAACGATACTTTTTATCGATTTTGTTATAGATATTTTTATCGAATCTGTTATCGACTTTGCTATCGATTTTGTTATCAATTTTTCTATCGATATTATTATCGCTTTTGTTATCGATATTTTTTTCTTTTCTTTTTGCTTTCGTTTTTGGCTTGGATGTGCTCTTAACCATGCCATGTATTCTACGTTTAAATTTAGCGGCCTGCATACCAAGACGAAGGCGCTGGAGTGTTCCTTTTTTGCTATACATAGGTGTGTGTAAAGTGTAAACACTATAAACCATTTCACTTAATAATTTCAAGCCGCCTTTATACCAGACATTTTAGTTTACTCCTCAAAACTGTCGCTGACAATGTTAGCCAACGGTTTATTTACTTTTGTAATCCATACAGCATTTGTGTTTGTGTCGAGCTTATTCTGATAATTATAATTTTTGTGTTTTTTGCACAACAACATTGGTCCTATGAACCCATGTATGGTTATAAATAAAAGTGACTACATATCGTCGTTTAAAGTACAAAACCGCGTATCAAGAAAATGCAAAACCTCGCATGTGACGTTACCAAGATTTTGTAGGTGAGAGTAAAGGTAGTCCTATTTCAAAACGGTTCTCTCTTTTATCCCGAATTATATCTTCTTCTTATATCTAAGAATCGATATTTTAGTATAAATGGATAAGGGCTTGATGACAGGAGCTTCCGGTGAGCAAATATCTTTTTTAGCACAAATGTCAGTTACGAGGTTTCGCAGAACGACGACGATGCGCGATATATACTTGTGTACACACTTTCGTTCATATGTACATACATACATACATATGTGCATATGTCGATACCCATTCAATAAACCTTTTATTAATTAAGTGAGGGTGTATTCAATGCATAATTTCCCCATCCACCCTTCGAGCTACAAACAAACGCTGTCCATCTCGTGTCTTCCACTTTAACCATACTTATGCTACACTGTTGCCACTTGGCATTGATTGCCGTCTGAGCCTATGGAATTTGGAATTTGTCAACTTGCAACATTTTCTCTGCCACAGCGCCGATTAAGCGGCACGCAAACCAAATGCATTACAAAATGTAATAGTAAATTCAATTAGAATCACTATAAGCCAACCGCAAGACAAGCAAAGTATTGGAAACTATAAAAGCCCTTTGCATTCTTCGGCATCACTCAACATCAAAAGTTTCGGCTGTAGTGGCTATGTTGCGCGCGGTGCAATTTCAAGACGTTTTAAACGGCTAAATTAGTGCAAGAAGCTAGCGTTTTGTGGCCGCGAGAGTGTTAATTTTTTTTTTGCTAAAAAGAAAATTTTCTTGCAATTCTCATAAACGTCAAGCAGGAGAGGCGCGTAAACGCATGAACGGCACAGCAACGTTGTAATCACACTTCCAACATCCAAGAACAGCGCTCAGGAAAATCACAGCGAGCTGACAATGCTGCCTTGCTGCAATGCGAGCCTGAAGCCTGTGCTGCGGCCAGAAGCGCGGTAAAATATCACTCATACGGCATGTGTTACGCAATGCCTTATGGCAACTATGGTACTATTTTCTTTTTTGTTTTCATTTGTCAGCGTCTCTAATGAGCTGCAGTTTCTGGGCTGGAATGTGCCGCCTGATCAGATACAATACATTCCCGAACATTGGCTGACACAATTGGAACCACCAGCCTCCATGCACTACATGTTAGCCATACTCTACACATTCCTCTTCTTCGCCTCGACAATTGGCAATGGACTTGTGCTGTGGGTTTTCATGAGGTACTGAACGATTTTACAATACGGAGCCACGCGTGTTTCCATAAATCTTCAACAAAGTATTTACTAAATATTCTACCATTTCCATCTCTTTGCTCTCTAACTTCCATAGCGCAAAAGCTCTCCGCACGCCATCGAATATTTTTGTATTAAATTTGGCTTTTCTCGATTTTATTATGTGCGCCAAAGCGCCGATATTCATCTATAACAGCTTTCATCGTGGCTTCGCGCTCGGCAATACTTGGTGTCAAATTTTTGCCGCCATCGGCTCATATTCGGGCATTGGAGCGGGTATGTTGAATGCCGCCATCGGTTATGACCGCTACAATGTCATCACAAAGCCAATGAATCGCTCAATGACCATGACCAAGTCTATTATAATGAATTTGCTGATATGGGTGTACTGTACGCCGTGGGTGATTATGCCATTGACAGGATTTTGGGATCGATTCGTACCAGGTAAATATGTGGTGGGTGTGGGTGAAAATTTGGGTATCTGATATTCGTGTTAAACGGTCGATTACTTCTCAATGGCCACGGTGGGCAGGAAGCGAAGATAGGTTGCATAAAAATGTCGACAAAATCTGAAAGCAGGGTTGTATTTGTAGATATCTTAAGGCTAAGAATCCGCTTAAATTGAAATCCTAGCTGCTCCTGTTTTAAAGATATCCACATTTTATATACTTCTGATAGGATATATTTGCAAAAGAGGAAGGCGTACTTCTCGATAATTAGAGCATATTTATACGAAAAGAAATCTCATAATAATAAATCTATTTCCCTTTTTTAACTCACTAAAACTGATCAAATCAATGAGAAACATTTTCATTTTTTCCTACCGAAAGAATAATTGATCGAGATTTATTGGGCGCTACCGGTATACAACTTAGATAAAACACCACAATTACCTTTTTCTGTAGCGTGAACTTTCTCATTACAAACACTTT